GCGCTCTGACGATCTGAGATTTGAGATACTGATTTCAGACTTCTAGAGGGGAGTGCTATTTTAGGCAAGGAAAGGAAAGGAGGACCACATCACTCAAAAACGCTATCTTCGCAACAACTGTAATAATACGCTTGCAGCTCTGCTATTTCCTCTTCTTTCTCCCGCAATGCAACTTTCAAAGCGTCTTTGCCAGGAGAAGCTTTTGGATCTTTTGTCTCTACGTCTCTACTAGTAGAAGGCCCTGTTGCTCCTGTCTCCGGAACGTCAGCGGCAGAAGCTAGAAGTAGAGTATCTCCTTGATTCTGTTCAGCTGTTGCTTCCGTCGCAGCCGCGCCAGCACCTGTTGCACCTGATGTTCCAGGAGCTGCGTCCACGACCGCTACCGGTGATGTACTCGACCCATCGGCCAGGGAAGTCGTTGCCTCTGCTAAAGCCGCTGAGGCAATGCCGTCAGCGAGGGAGAAGATCTCAACATTGATCACGTCTCCACTAGACGAAGTTCGTACTGATTCAGTATGCTCAGCATTGTCTTCGTTTAGGGCTCACCCCTCTCCATCTTGAGGCGCATCCTAGAAGTCTCCGTTTTCCCCTTGAAAGCTTCTTCAGGATGCCGCAGAAGATGGATTTAAGGATAAGCCTTAATTTTTCGTCATCTTTTCCCTGCTTAGTATTTTCCTCTTTCTCTTGCATCTCCTGCAGCTCCATAAGCTGCGTCTCCAATGTTCGCATTTTCTGTTGGGCTGTTTGATGCTGCTTCTTCCATTGGTCTCGCACACGGATGCCGTCGGGAGATGAAACAAGAGGGATTCTTGTAGAAGTAAATCATGCGAAGAAGAAATCAGAAAAATCTTAGACTTTGGTGGAGATGCAGGAGCTATGACGGAGAGGAGAGAGAAATACTAGTTAAAATGAAGAATTCACTTCTAGCACTGTACAGTATAGATAGATAGATAGATGTACCCACTCACGGGGTATAAGTTCTTTAATTAGGGACTTCTCCTCTACCCGTTTTTATTTTCTCGCCTTTCATAACCTCACTTGATATCGCAATCGACTAATCTCCTTGCGCAGTTCTTTCTTCGAAGGCGAAGCCTCTGCTGCATCCTCCGCCTCCGCAATTCTGTCGAAATCGGATAAACGCAAATTCTCTATACCACGAGGCGTCACCACTGCAGACCCACCCCCACGTGGTGTCACTACTGAACTCGACCCTCCCCCATCTCGTGGCGTCACGACAACCGAGACGCCTGGTGCGCGTGGAGTCGCCTCAGCTGAACCTCTACAACTACTAGACTGCTCACCTGGCAGAGGGACTTCTTAGAGCTATTCCTAGTCCATCCCTGTGGAGTAGATCCCTGATCATGAGTATCCCGTTTATACGGTTCAGGGATCTACTCACTATATTAGAGATGGACTAGCAGAGCTAACCTTAAACTTCTAATCTTCCTGAGAGTGAAGACTGACCACGGTCAGAGGACTGCTCTCCTGTTAATATTCGTTTACTGTTATTAGGGATAACTTCAGAAGCTGAGTTTGACGAGAGGTCTCGCGGCGTTAGCGGCTTGATGTTCATTGAAGGGGTACGAGATCCTGATCCTGTAGAGGCTCTATTATTAGCAGCATGATCATCGTCCTCCAATTTACTACTTGTTTCAACCTTGTGGTCTTGCACTTCATCCCGGGTCCCACTAAAACCATGAATTTTCAATGCGTGGCCAGGAAGTTCCTTCGAGACTCCTCGTGACAGTCTGCCGTCGCCTCGCTCGATCGGTGTTCTAGACCGCAGTTCTTCAGGCAGTGGGACTTCGGTAGAAGCTGGACTGGGAATGGTGGAGGGTAAACGCGGGTTTTGAGTGCTAGTTGTGCTTCCTGGTGCAGAGACGTCTCCACTACGGCTGACCGCACGACCAGCAGAAACACGATCAGCCAGCGTCTTCCCTCCGCCAGAAAGCAGAGAAGCGACGCTGCTAGAAGCTGGCGGAACGTTCGGCGCGAGGATGGATTAGACACTGAACTACACTCAATGATCATGCTGACCCTGACGCTGACCGATTTCTATCCTATAAAACATCGCTGTTTTACCCATCTTCGAATGAAATTCCTAGAAGACTCACTCGTTCTAAAACATCGCTGTTTTTTTACCCATCTTCGAATGAAATTCCTACAAGACTCACTCGTTCTGAAAGTTATTCTTGCACTAAAATCTTAAACTGCTGCCGGTGAGCTGGCCATGGACGACGGACGGGACTTCGTCGCTGCCACCCTTGACGAAGAGACGCTCCTCGTAGGAAACGCAACAGCAAACGCACTTGCTGGACTCGCTTTGTTGCTACTGGCAGCACGAACTGTACTGTGAGACAAGACACGTCTAGGCCTCCTAGTAATGTTGTCGGCCCCTTGAGGCTGCTCTACTTGAGTGGAATTATCTGCACAACTCACCTCAACTGCTTAATTAGAACTCACTACAAGAATGAAGAATCCATCTTTTCGCTCATGGGTTAGGGTTAGGGTTTCAATTAAGGCATACTAAAATAGGGTTGCGCTCCTGCTACCCATGATGTCCTATTTGAAAACAGCTCCGAGATGAACTAAAAGATGGATTACGGGAGGCCTTAACTTTACTTGTAGTTGTTGTACTTCCCCTAGAAGCAACGGAGGAGGTATTGATACTGTGCATCTGTGTCGGGGTTATAGTAGTGGTGTGGTTTTGCAGTCGCATCTGCGACAGTCCTCCACCTGTAGGTGAGGGAAGAACGCCTCCTCCTCGAGCAGCGATGTTTTAGAGGTAGGTTTTTGGTGCTTGCTTACCCCGCTTTTTATGCCTTTTTCCCTTAGGAGAGGCATAAAAAGCGGTAAGAAAAGCACCTTTAACCTACCCTTAAATGTTACTTCCGAAGAGCGTAGCTGGACTAGCTTGTTGCGACTGCGGCGTCCTAGCACTGGATGTGCTGTTCCTTGTTTCTGAGACAGAAGAGGCACCTACATTCGAAGCACTATTCCCCCGGGCACTACGTGCTACTGGTGGCCTCTTCCCACCTGATGAAGACGCAGTGGACACTTCGCCACGATAAGCGGCTGAGTGTTGTTGTGATACCGATTGAGATACCGAATTCGAGTGAGATGTTCCGGATGGAGGAACGCCTCTCCGCATAGGCCTCTGGTCTCTAGGCTGTGGAAGCATCTCTTCCTGGTGCATAGGTGGGTAAACACCTTCATGCGGTGACGCACTAGTTGTTGAAGTCGCTGGACTGTAACCTGGGACCACAGAAGATGGTCCTCCTCCGGTAGTACCTCCTGTAGTACTGCTAGTAGTCGTGGTCGTACTGCTACCAGCCTGTGTTACTCCACCACTTTTAGGTGGTAGTGGTGCTCGACTAACGGCACGAGTAGGTCTAGTTGATTTTACTAATGGTGCACCACTAGTTGTATCCCTTTCGATAACAGACGACGAGGAAGACGACGACATGATCCCATTCCCAACATGCTGACCCATATTAATTCTTTGCTGGTGCATGACAGGGTCTGTGGGTGACGTCTGCGCACTCAAATATTGGGTGCTTTTTGACGACGAACTTTGAGACTTTGACGAGTTCTGACTTCTACAGGACAGATACGTCTGACTTGTGTCCTTACGCATAGGCACAATGTTTGTCGGAATGGATGTCGACGCACCTGTCGTCGGAGAAACGCCCATGGGCACAGCAGCTTCGAGGTGTGCGCCTGCTGCAGCGCTGTGGCTCCGGATGTGGGCCCCACCACCTCCGACGACCGCATGGTGACCCTCTAGTAGTTGGCCCGCTTGTTGGTTCGGTGCGATGGGTATGAGGGAGGAAGAGAGGGCTAGACCTAGAAACCTCCTACATTATTCAGTGACCCATGCGTCTTCACGCGATAAAGACAGTGTCAATTCGAAAATCTCTAAGGAACTAGTCAAAAGGATCATAATCGCGTACCATGATGATCCTTTTGACTAGTCAAAAAAAACGACCAAGATGAAAGTTCCTCTCATATCTTGTTGTCTTTGATTCGCATACAGCTGTACGCCAGGCGTACCTAGAGGCGATAACCCCGACAAAGGCGACTGCGCAGGAAATGGACTTCGCACTGCTAGTCTTGGCGCCTGTTGCAGAAGGGGCGCCGGACGTAGAATGTTGGTCCGCGAGTCTCTTTGAAACATGACTTGTGAAAACGAAAAGCAGCACGACGCTGTAGGCGAAACTAAAGGAGACCCGCGCACTACGGCTCCGGCGACTCCGCTAGCAGAAGTGTTAGAGGATGTAGCAGATCAAGGTCCGTTGAAGGGTATCTTGGAAGTGTACTTTGCCTCTGACTTACACTAATCCTTTCCAAGATACTGACCTTTCATGACGGAACAAGCATGTAGACCCCTAAAATGAGCCTTAAAAGTCGCCGATGAAGACGCACCACCACACGTTTTTCCTTGCTGATCGGTGGTCGAGCGGTGCTGTGCATGAGCTTCATCTAATGAGCCAACTCGGTTTCCACGCATTGTGATGGTCGAGCTTGAAAAAGTCACGCCACAGCTGCATGTTTGACAACAAAATCGAGGTGGAAGATGATATCAGAGGACCTAAAAAGTAAAAGGAGGATCACCAAATCGAAGATAAACGGTCAGTAGAGTAGCGTGATGCTGGTCTTATCTTCCTTACACCACGCCGCCATCCATCGCTCTGTCGTAAAAAAAGAAATACTATTCCACTTCCTTCATGGTTTTAGTGATAACGCCCGAGCAAGACGCGCCTTATCAAACTTGTACTATGGCCATGCAGACTTCGCTGTACTTTGTCCCATTTTCTCGTGTTTTCGTCCTATTTTGCAAGAGCGTGCTCAGAAGAGGAGAATTACTTCAATTACAAAGTAGTTGCAGGATATCTTCTATTTTCATTTTCTCTCTTGGACGAACAAGTATAAGGTGTAGCCGAACACACGCAAGGAGTAGTGCTCCGCTCTGAAACCTCGGCGTGTCGGCCGACACGGTCATGCTCCGCGAAAGTCCTCACGTTCAAACGACAGTACAAACGCTAATATACCTCGCAAATTGGAGGTGTTTTGATCCTCATACGATCACAACATACACATTATCCAAAAAGAACAAGCATTAACATACGACATAGATACCATCCCTTCATTTAGCACCTTTTTGTTTCTCAGTTACTTACTTTTATTCTCCACCATATTGTTTCTCGGTTACTTACTTCTACTCTCCAAACAAGTAGTAACCCTAATCACACCATTCCACTAAAAATAACCCTGAAAATCACGGTACTCGATATGGAATTCCATATCTATCAAATGGATGACCTCTTGGACCAAGCCAGTAGTTTGCATCGCAACGTACAGCCACAAAAGTCACTGCGGATGCAATACAGAGACTGTTGAGTACAATACTGTGTATTAACTTCTAGGCTAGGATAGGATTTGATTCACCGTCCACAGTTTGAACTTCTCACAAACATGAGTTTCAGTTTCAGTCCGCTAGTCCTGTATCCCCTGATGGGCGTTGTAGTCTATTTTTTTTTCCATGCATAGGACTAGGTGCTGCCTCCCATTCAACTACTTGACAAACCCCCACTTAACAACTTACATACCGGGAGAGCAAGAAAACCGTATCACAACGGCTAAAAACTACTACTATCGGAGAGGACTATATTACAATAGCCTCTGTCTACTTCTATTCAGTATCGAGGGGTATTTATGTCTATCCAGTACTCAAGATGAAGATAGGAGAAGTACAAGAATAATAAACTACGCCAAATTCTATACGTACAGATAGGAGAAGTGCAACAATACACAGCAACTGTAGTCAATCTAGTTTGCAGACAACAGAATGAGCATGTTCCTAGCGCCTAGAAGGAGAGGGTGTCTCTAGATAATCTGTCATAGTGAGGATATGATGCCAACTTGCGTCTTCGCCTAAGAGGCGTCTCTTTTTAATAATTTGTGATAGTGAGGATATGATGGTGTATGATAAATCTTAATCTTTCTCTTTGATATTCACTCTTAAGTCAGTATTTACCTATACCCTCCTTTAAGATGGAAGAAAGACCACATAATCTATTCAGAACTACAAGAGCCTCTCTCTCTCTATGATCAAAGCAGCAGCTTTTTTCATGCGGTGAATCGTGTGTGATAGGGTCCGGTAGGAACTATAGTGATCTACTTCGGAAGGAACTATAGTGATGAGTTTGAACCCTCCCTCTCATGACTACTTCGGAAGGAGCAAGAGGTTGTCCTTGAAGGTTCCCTCTCAGAACTCATAGCCATATAAACAATCACAAGGTCCCCAACAGCCTTCAAGAGCCCGCGCACAACATTGTGATAGGCATAACATCGTGACAGGAAGGAAGTACCTCAACAATGTCAATGTGTTTGGCATTCAGCTGGTCTATGATAGTTTCAAACTGTTTCAGTGGAAGATTCATGCCAAGCATCGGGTACGTTAACATAGTTCTTAAGAGATCAGAAAGAGAGTGGGAGAAGTTTTTGAACCAGTGTTGTTGCTTTTTCATTTCTTTATCGAATCAGGAAGATGCTTTTTTCTTAAACACCGGTCTTGATATTTCCGTCTCACCTTCTTCACCTCCCATTTTGCTTAGCGTTTGTGTCCTTCCCATCTTCTTTTGGTCCATGGCCGTGTCTTTTAGCTGAGGAGTTTGAGCAGCATTCTTGTCACTACCGCCATGATCGTCACCACCATTCATCTCTTCCTTTTTCTTGGCAGCTAGCCACTCCTTGTACTCGTCTTTCATCTGCTGCTTTTGCCCGTCCTTGATGGCTAATGGCGCATCATCATCGCCCCCACTCGTGATTTTCACATCGTCGGGTGCAGCAGCTTCCCCTTCAGGTCCGACAGTGTGAAAAGTAGCTCTTTCCTCGATGATCGCAGCGCCTTCCATTTCAATTTTTCGAGAATTTCTAGTGTCTTTCTTACTTGGGGCCCATCGAATCGGATCTCCTAAAGGTTGGGGAATGATCGTACGCTGTGCTTGATGTCCTAGTCCTGCTTGGTGTAGAGTACTAGAGACTTGTAGTTTATCTTTCACTTCTCCATGATCTGCTTTTCCAGTGACAGCATCTTCTTTCCCTGGATCTTCTTCATCGTTCTCCACCAAGTGTCCAAAACCCAGCATTTTCATTTGCCTAGTATACCAACGCCCGACGACATTCGCATATTCGGAATCCACGTAGTAGATATCGACGACCCCAAATGGTTTCGTCAGTTTCTGCCACAGGCCTAAGAACGCCGCGACCATGCCTATGTATCCGGCATAAGCACCCACGAATGCGAGGAAATCTTTCAACTCTAAAATCGGAATTTCTTGGAATCTCTGACTCGTAGGATCGATCGCAAAGAGTAGGCGGACGCTGCAAGAACTTCTCATGCTGTAATCAACATCCGCGTAGCCGATATTCAACATGCTCACTGAGTTAGCTGTTGCAAGTTGACCTATCATGTAGCTCGCATAGCTAAATCCTTTTCCGTTTCCCCCTTAAAGAGTAGGCCATTTAGACTATAAGCCTCTTCTTAGATCATGAGAGGTCTGAATCTGAAAAGGTCAACATAGATATGCTCTTTTTAGATAAGCATAGATCAACTTGCAAGAAGCCTTAGCAGAAGTTGCCCAACGATCCAAGCTAATGGCCCCCGTCCATTTATCCACGATATAAATTGGATTTATTTGCCACTGCACCTGAATCAAGATCTTCGTCATGGGCTTAATCGCTATGTGGCCATCTTCCGCGGCAGTAAACGTGCGCAATCCGGCGTGAAGTTCTAATTAGAGAAGCCTGCAAAGATAGAGAAGATTATACTTCTCGGCTGTGGAAATGAGTAATTTTGATCTTCGGCTCGGCTGTGGAAATGAGTAATTTGGATTACCATCTTGAGGGCCATAATCTAAAGACAAATTGTCCAAACCAGCCATCAATTCGTCCATTTTTTTGCTGTCGTATTCTGGCCAGTGTAACGGCTTCACTGCCTCGACCAAATTGCGGGTGCGTTTCTTGTTCACGTTGATCACAATCCCAGGCAACAGCATTGGCGGATTGGCTGGCACGCCCTGTTGACAGCCTCGGATTTTCTTACTACAGAGTGCCTTTCCACGTGCTAGAGGCTCAGCAGCCCACAGGCGCTCTTGGCCGTTGACGAAGTCCGCGCCTTGGGCTTGCGTCATGTAGTTTCTTTCTACGTCGAGGAATTTCTGGTCAAAAGTCAAAGAGTAAGTAGCTTCCAAGTCCACGACTTGTTCCGGCATTGTTGCTGCGTAGCTTGTATCCTCTCGGACACCTGGGTACAACCAGTGACCAGTCAAGGGGCCTTGCACTGCGAAGCTCAAGTAATTCGCTGGCTGAAAATCCTCACTGCAGAACATGCGGTACTTGTCCTTGCTGCTCGACTTCAGGTAGGCGGATGTCTTGCAGAAAGAACCCAGGTTACCCTGATGTTTTTGGCCCGCGTGCATTTCGTCGAAGGTCTGCGTAGTACAGCTGTCAACCCTGAAGTTGTCACCTGCATGTAATTGCCATTTACCCCAAAAGCTACGGAAGACCTCCGACGCACCAGGCGAGTTCGCAAACGCGTTGGTGATCGATTCATCGGTAATACGAGAGCTAGGACACAAAGCGCCTATCCTGACTCTTTTAGGATACACAAACATGCTCAGGTGCACGTCCAAATTCGCTGGAGACTCATACGTTTCCGTCGTCGTAACCTTATAGCGATCTTTGGGCAAATAGGTACTTGCTGGATCTCGAAATAGGTTGACTTTGGAAATAGACTGCACCACAAACGAGACGACTTTTTTCTCCGTCTGACTGGCTGACGTGGAACTCGCAAAATTCGCTAAGGCACTGTCCAAATCCACCGTAGACATAGAGGAGGAGCCTTGTTGCAGATCGTAAAACCCCAAAGAATCCAGTTGTTCGGTGGTGAGATGCTCGCGCGCACAGACAGGGACAAGGCCAATGTTGGCATTGGGAGGCCAATTGGCAGTGTCCATCCAAGAAGTGGCAGAAGGACAGGCGGTGGTATTGAGTGTGGCAGTCGCGGTTAGTTCGCGCAAATTATCATCCAGAGAACCAGTATGGTCGAAGTTTTTTCCTGAGGGATAGCCCTCTCCTTGTTCTTCCGAGATCATATGGCTGTAATCTCTGTACAAAGCATCAGCCTCTGCTTCCCGCAAAGCCTCGGTCATCGCGGGAGATGTCCTAGTTGTAGGAAATGTTTTAGCGTCCTGTTCTAAACCCTGAGCTGCCTCTAGCCGGTCCCTCAATTGTCTGCGATGTAGGTTTCCTCTTATCGCTTCCTGCAGAGGATCTCTAGAAGAAGATGCGACGCCTTCATCTACAACAGTCAAGTCTAAAGCGTCAGCGACCAAGAAGGCATCGTGACTGACATGATCCGCGTCGACGCCCTGAACCTTCAAGTCTCGACTAGCCCTCTGCGCCGCCATCCACGGAAAATCTTTTTTATTGCGGATGCGCCTTGAGGGTCGACTGCGTAGTGATAGTGGGGACCCTCCATTGCTTAGTCGTGGCAGTGTGGACGTAGCGCTAGCAGAAGAAGTTCTACTTTGACCATGTTCCTGTTGTAGTTTAAGTCTTCTTGTTCTCGCACCAGCATCCTTCATTTGTACATGATTAGAAAGTCCTCGTCGTTTTCTTCTCGCAGCATCACCAGCCTTGAGCTGCACTTCGTATATCTGGAATTCTAAACCTGTTTGATCCAAGTTCACTTGAAACCCTTCGTCCGCTAAGTTGAATGCGTCCAAGTTCTCGTATATCCTCCACAAGATTTGGGCTCTCTCTGCACCTGACTCAAAGATGTTCGTTTTGGCGCTGTTTGCTGCCTCCTCAGTTTCTGCCTCAGTCTCGACCGTGATGGTGGCGCGCAAGAGCTGACCGCCGACGTCGCGGTCTGGGTTGGGGCCGAGAGTGAAAGACTCCAATGCAGCTGTGGGAAATGCAGGTTTGTCCTCTATCGGCTTCGTGAAAACACGTTTGAACGGAGCGCTTCTATCCATGTCGGCAGCTCTTGTAATAGGAGGCCTGATACTTTCTACGCGCCATCGCCAGATAACCTGAAGGACATATTTGTCGTCAGTGCCACCGCCAGCGGCGCCCGCTCCAACACCAGCAGCGCCAGCGCCGACACCCGCGCCAGCTCCAACACCAGCGCCAACTCCAACACCCGCGCCAGCTCCAACACCAGCGCCAACTCCAGCACCCGCGCCAGCTCCAACACCAGCGCCAACTCCAACACCCGCGCCAGCTCCAACACCAGCGCCAACACCAGCAGCCCCTTTATCCGGGTCCACTGCTGGCACTGCTGGATCAGCCCCTTTATCCGGATCCACTGCTGGCACTGCTGGATCAGCCCCTTTATCCGGATCGACTGCTGGTGTTCCTACATAGCCATCTCTTACTGGGTCAACATAGCCACCAGGGTCAACATAGCCACCAGGATCGTTGTAGCCCGAGCCAAAGTCTGGATCATAACCCGCACCGGGATCAAGATAGGCTGGACCCCCATAGCCGTCTTCTGCTCCGTCATCAAAGCCGTCCCCTGCTCCGTCATCAGGTCCATACATTCCACCAGGGACTGCGGCTCCTATACCTGCATAGGGATCGCCCCCAGGAACAACACCCCCAACCGATTCCAAGTCGTCGCGACTCGGAACCGCCACTTGCGTCTCAACCTCCGCAACCTCTTCAGCGTCGATTTTTATAGTGGCGACCGAGGAAAACGACAGCTGCAGATTTCTGGTCATCGCTGTAGCACCATTAGAAACCGCTCGCTCTAAATTACTTTGGAGGGTGTTTGCGTCAGCCTCCGTGTCCTGGGTAACTTCAAATTGGAAGCTCACTGCGGCAGTAGAAGCAAGACGCCGTTTCTGGGAGTTTGTTGGAGCTTGTCGTCCTAGTCCTAGTCCTCCAGATTCTAGTAGAAGTTCTCCAGGATCATTCTGGGTGCTTTGCATCTGACGCAGCGAAAAGGCAGTTGTTTCAGCGCCTACTCCTAATTCACCATGATCCAGCATATTTTTGTAAAAGGCTTCAACAACAAGAAAAGGATCCGACTCGGAGTCTTCAACAAAAGACAGTTGGCGAGGAGCATGCGTGACCGTGATTTTCGTTACGCGTACTTGGTAGCTTGGTACTTTTAATGTCCGCGCCATCGCGCTTTGGAATGCGGGCACAACTTCTGGATCCTTCATCAAATCGGCTCCAGTCGTGGCCTTATTAGGCAATTTCATCTTCACTTTCAAATTCGCTTTTACAACTGGTTGTGTCTGGACTACCGATCCATCGGCAGCTGTTTTGATGCCTCCGCCACAAAAGGGTGGGGGATTGGGGACTAAACAGGCAGGGTCCATCAACATAGCTCCACCGCCGCCGCCTCCACCACCGCCACCGAATCCGCCTCCACCGTCATCGTCATGGTCCCCCTGCCCGTCTGGATCCGCCGCCTCGGACATCAACCCAGTGTCCACGTAGGCACTGGCACTGGCCACAACGTTCGCTTGAAACGCAGCTGCCGTGACTTCGGAAACGCCTAGAGTTTCCACGATGGTTCCGACCGGTCGGTCCCCGACTAAGGGGCAATCTAGCTCAATCACTTCCCATAAGTACCGCATATAAGTTGGCGCAGCTAAACGCGTGCCATTGAAGCTTGTGGCATCCGTGAAGTGGTTTGTGCGGACACTAGTTGGCAATCCCGTCTTGAAATCGCAGTAGGCGTAAGTTTCAGGTTCGGATTTAATCTGGCCACAAGTTGGGGGCAAAGTGCCACCGCTTAATTCTGGAACTTTCACACCCACATTGTTTCCCTTAGGACAGTTTACTCTGACCGCAACGGTGCTAGTCGGATCATCCAGACGTTCTTCAACAAACAGTTGTGGAATCCCACGATCGCCCATGCAGTCCCAATCCGGACGACCGCAGTTGCAGTCGCAGGTGCCGTCAGCCCACAATTCTGGCGCACAGATCCAGGGCGTCACTTGGTCATCCCCCAAAGCGCCAGAAACTGGGTCTACGGTCGGAAAGAGCCATTGGTAGGCTTTCTTGATCTTCCTTACCTCCATAGGGGCTGTCGAACTGCCGTCACTCGCACTGCCACGAACTAGTAACCGCATATTCGAGTTACTAGGCACGAGTGCCTCATTCGAGAAGCCAGCTGCATTGACGACTAGCAACCCATCGTGCAAGCCGTCGCAGAAGATACTGGATCGGCCAACACTGGAATAGTCCACTCCATTGTGGTCGATGCCTGGTTTTCCAGTTGCAGTTGAGAAATCACACCAAGGGCGATGGGCTTTGATCTGCACAAATTCCGCGATGGTAGAAAAATCGGCTTTAGCTGGGGTCTGGTCGTCATTTTGAACCGCCGACGGCCTGCCTGCTGGCGTATAAGCGACGTCTTTCACTTCGGTCACGTTTGCATGCTTCGCCAATTCGGTGGAGAAAAGCGGACTCAAAAACGTCCCATCCGCAGATGCCAGTGATAAAGATTTCCCCGCACTATGACCCGTTAATTCCACTTCAACGCGGATCGTGTGTTCTTCAGTAAGAACAGCAGTCAATTCACGCTTCTTACCCCCTCCTCTCTTCACTTTCACCATTTTCCCCGTCAAGGGGTCGTAGATCTCCTGTTCGCCAAAGCTGGACGTGTCCGAAAAACAGGCCACGGCTAACTGCGTCTCCGAAATCGTACCACGTGTAATACCTAGGCTTTCACCGGCTGCAATGATTGCCCGTTTCACAGCGGAAAGGAACATAGGATCACCAGCCAACACCGCTGGATTGGTCCCGTCCGGGGTCAGAGTGAGCAGGATCTGAAATTCTGACCTAAAATCGTAGGTCAGGGTCACGGTCTCTGCACTTAGCTGACGGCGAGGGGTGCGAGCAAGTCGTGTTGACGGATCAGCAAACAAGTTCTCAGAGTTCAGCGTGTTCATCATTCTATTTTCTCCCAACTGGCTTACCAGTGCTCTACTGTCCTCTGCCAGTTCTAGTTGCCTTTTTCTCGCATCTTCTTCTTCTTCATCAGAAGTAGTAGAATCGTCCAACCTTCGCCTTACATGTTGTAAACCATGCAGAGCCAATACGCGAAATCCTTGTGACGGATCATTCAGTGGATTTCCAGCGTGAGAACTGCCGTCGTATTGCAGGTTTCCATAAAAATTCTGTAAATCTTGATGGTTCATCAACACCGTGTTGATCTCTTGCTTGACTGTGGCCGGATCAAAAGCAGCCATCGCGGCTTCCATGTAAAACGGCAGGTCATGCCATTTCCGTATGCGAAACGACACGTCTGCGTTGAAACCTCGCTTGCTAGGGACTTCCGAGTAAGGGACAGCTGCGAAGTTGACCGGTCCTTGAATCCTGACACTCGCGATGTCTGGCGCAGTCGCAACCGGATTCGGCATGCCGAACGCACGGGCTAAGCCCTCACCTAGAGCCCGTTCCAGCTGTGCGAAATTGCTTAAGCCAAAGGCTGCCGTTCCTAGAGTAACGCCCGTGGTCAAAGTCCAGGTTCCGGTGCCAGGATTAGGATCCAGCAGCCCCTTATTTGTCGCTGGATCGATGCTACTGGCTGGAGGGGTCTGGAGGTACAAGAACAGCTTGTACTCCTTCGCTTCTACGGCGCACGCAGTGGCGTAAGGCGTTTGGTAAAAGCTCGTGAAGCAGTTGGTTGCCCCAGGAACTGTGTTCTCAGGGGAATCCTTGAAGTAGAGGTTTGTCGCGGTTAGACTCTTTCTTTTCACAGCAGAATCGCCAGCGAGAGAAGAAGCAGCGATCTTCTCCACGTCGGGATAAAAATAGCGGTAAATCGACACATCCTCAGACGGCAGATTCGCGGTGTACTGCCTGGATAGGGTGCCGCGGACGCCAGCAGAAGTCAGGCCAATAGGGTAGTCGTTGACATCCAATCTCTGCCTCTCTGGGTTGGAGACAGCGCAAGACTTCACTGTAGAAACACTCAAGGTAGTTACTCCTAGATTCAGTGCTCCCGAAGGGGCACTAGCGTTGGAGGCAGAGGTGTTAATACTCGCCGTTGTGCCATTGGTTCCAAGCGTCAAATTATCCGTGCCATTGCTACTGCCACTACTATTGGCTGTCAAGAAACGACGCTGTTGTACTTCATCTATGCTGGTGTCGTGGTCGACATCTACTGAGGAAGCAGCTAATCCATGTTGTACACCAGCAGAGGACTTGTACTCATCTTGTTGTACTCGAGATAACGCACCACCAGAGCCATGATAGGACCCTTGGTATTTTTGTACCTCTGGCAAAGACAAACGTCGTCGTTTCGCTGCCAGTACTTCCTCGTCTGTCTTTCGTAATCTTGCTCTCCTTCCTGCATCCGACTCCGATAATTCCAACAATTCTCCTGCGGCTGCTCCGGATAAGAAAATGTCCGTTTCATAATTTCTATAGCTGCTAGCCGCATTACTACTCCAACCATCCTCCATGATCCCTTCATTCCACTGCCCATCTGCCGACAATCTTCGCAACAGCACAGTAGCATTTTTACCACCTCCTGCCGCAGCAGGTCCGGTCAATCCAGACCCCAAGCTGGAACTAGACTTGTCTCCTACACTACCCGCGCGAATCAAAATTTCGGAACTGTCAATCTGCACTCTGTAAGGCCCAATCGTTGAAAAAGGCTTGGTTTCGTCGTCCAACTGCATGATCATGTCCGAATAATCCTTCGTCATTGAACTTGCCATTGCGCCGCTCGCAAAATGACGATACCTAAAAGTGCGACCATTGGCTTTCAAGTTTAGAGCTTGCAACCACAAATTCACCTGGAACGAACCCAAAATGCGACTTTCAACCTCTATCTGGAACAAAGTAAAAATCCGACTTTCAACTCATCTTCAAAGCCGTCACCCTACTTTGACGACGTGTGTCTTCCTCCGAGGGAAACGATCGAAGATGCTTGTGTTCTCAAAATGAAGGAAGGGAAGCGGTAATAAGTGCCAGAAGGGATAAGCCTACGAATAGAGGGAGAGCTAGCCGGCTGTTTTACTTTTGTGCTTTTACTGGAGAATTTGCGTCTTTGCATTGGCCGTAATAAGTGGAGAATTTGCGTTTTTGTATTGGCGTCCACGGCTTCGGTCTTTATCGCAGTGACCAATTCGTGAATGCCCATTCCCCGATTTAATTCCACTGTGAAGTTTGTTCCTTCCGACACTGACGTTTTCAAAGGGAAGCCTGCTTTCGGACCTAGAGAGGCTCTCACAACGCGATACTGGTCTATGATACTTGGCACCGTGACTGTACTCGTGTTCGTCGCGTCCCTGTAGGTGCCGTACTCCTTGATCGTCGTCGCGTCCAAGGCTAGAACGCCGTCTTTGGCAGCCACGTCGCCGTCCGGTCGGTACTGACAGACGTACTCGTTTTGCTCGTTCCGGTTCGTACGGCCTTGTATGAAAGGAAAAAGCGCACTACTCAACATCCCGCCCATGAAATAAATAGGCACTTTCTAGGTACTAGGAAACTACAGCCTGTCTGTTTTCTTGAGAAGTATAATCATGAGTACACTTTTTCCTTTCATACCGTTGTACAATTCATCGTAGGGGCAAACCTGGCAACTACCACCATTCAGCCCAACGAAATCGGTACTGTGGCCAAAATAGCCGTGCAACATAGTGTCGCCAGGCATGTGCATTCGCTCGCAGGGCTCAGACACTGCTACGTCCTGAGACGCGGGATCGTACAAGGGTAATGTATATTAGCGCGCACAATAATTCATCTGTCTCTCCTCAAAAAAAAAAGGACTCAGTGGGAAGAGGACTATCAGAGTGGTCCCAGAAAAGGACTCACTGGGTAAAAGAAGACTACTAATCAACAGAACTTACAGCTGTAGCCATTAACTACAGAACTTTAACTTACTGGCTGTTAACTTACAGGTGGTTAACTTACCTGTTCGTCGTCCGGTAGTTCAACATCATTTAGATAAGTAGAAAATATGAGCCGTAAGTGCACCGTCCAGCAGGCGAACAGACTTCACCTTCAGAGCAATAACTCGTAGGATAAATACCCAACAAGCAGTCAGGGTCCGTCATTCCGCAGTTACAGTCACAAAACTGCTGATCATTGTAGCGGTTGGGTGGACACACCCACAGAGCTGGAGTTGAAACGGCACGATTTAGACGCAAGGTTAAGGTTCATCTTTTAGAACATGAACATCTTGTTCCACAGAATGCCCTTTGAAGTAGAAATTGACACCGACCGTTTAGAACATGAACATTTTCCACAGGCCCTTTGGAGTAGAAATTGACACCAGAAGATAGTCCAAAAGATGGGCTGAAGCCTTAATGGATACTCAGTGGGCGGCGTCACTGCGTGATTCAATCGCGTACTGCCTATTTGCGAACCGCGGATGACCTTAATCTCGTCACTTTTGGTCACTGTAGTGTTCCCAGTCCCTTCCGTATTTTTCCCGGTGACCAGCATTTTCTCGGTCCCACTATTGCCGGTCACGAGGATGTAAAACGGAAATCGTTTCGCCCACAAATTGACCGGAGTCTTTAATTAGAGCTAGAAGACATCATGAAGATCCCGTCTTTAATTATAGGCCCCGTCTTTAATTATATAGAGCATCCTCCTGGTGACCCCCGTTTCGAAACCTTAGAAAACGGACCGAAGATGCTGGCCAAGATCAACATCGACAGACCTGGAGTTTCAACTTCTAGCCTTAATTCAACTTTAACACGGAGGCCAACTTATCTGGAGCTTCGGCTTTTACGTACACAGCATTGAAGAACTTCCCGGATCGTCCATCGCAGGAGACGGCCTCAACACTATGCTGGAAATTATTCACGTACGAAGCGAAAAACATCCAATCTGTAAACTCTAAAGGTAGTTTCCAAGGAGCATTGTTGGCTTGACCATTAATATTGGCTTGACCATTGCCGTTGTTCGTTGCATTGCTCACTCCAGTATCAAACCCCAAGTTGCCACGCATTTGTCTTTCCACATTGACTTGATACTTTCCAAAGCTCGTTGACTGCATGAAGACTTTGGCAAAATTTTCGGTCCACCCGCTTTGCAAAATCATCATGTTATCCCTATTGCCCGCTTCTCTCCTGTATGTTCCCGTCTCCAAGTTTGTGTAGCCCTTACGGCCCCAAGTAAAGTTCCCCGTACTCAATTAGCGCTTACCCTAATCCATCTTGAAACTCACCTCGAAGAAGTTTTTTCCCTTAAATGGAAGAACAGACCTAAGATCCTCCTGGATGAGATGGATTAGCGGAAGCCTTAACTCAAGGTGTTCATCAGCGTCTGCTTTTGGTACTCGCGACTGTACTTCAAAAGAAACGGCCGTAGCGCTTCGTACTGGTAGCGGTTGACCAATCCGAATTGTAATTGGCAGGATTTTACATTTCGCAATTGTTTCCGGTCTAACCTCACAAAAGCGACCGCTTCGTGGTCAAAAAATTGACTGTAACTCTCCATCAAACCCAGATCCGCATACGCGTATCGCAACGATTCGGCGAAATTGTGGGTGGCTGAGCTTACCGCCATGTCGCGTAAATACCGCGTCGTGTTCGGCAAGGGGCTCTCGAACTCACTGCCGCCAAAGGGGTAACCACCTTAGAGGAGACCTTCTGCATAAATATTTGACATTCATCTTGATCTTGAAGCGTAAGCGCATCTTACTTTGAAGTGTTTCTGTTTCCTCCTTACTGATAAAATGAGAGTCATCAAAGATGTAGGCTCTTAAGATGAATTAAGCGGGTGATGAATTATAGGGTAGTATTGGTTGTGAATTCTCTTTAAGGATAAAAGGAATGACCAAAGATGCTGTCGAAGTTGTGTCTACTCATGTCAAGTAACAGGATGAATCATATAGAGGTTCATATTGTTTTTGTTAAGATGAATTACTTTTAGTTTTACTACAGGGTACTTAGAATAAAAAGTGAGCGCTCCTACTTTTAGTTTTACTACAGGGTACTTAATAGAATAAAAAGTGAGCGCAGGTCGGAGCCTTAACTGTTGAATGCGACTGATATCTTTTCTTCTGCTCCAAAGCCAACCGGGACTTCGCCTTGACGGGACGTTCCGCCAAAATGGATCCCGTTCTTGTCGATCCACTTGATCTTGGCCAGCGATGTCTTGTTGTCCGCCTCATAAAACTCTATCCGCTGGGTCCACGCTATGTTCAACGCCGGGACATCTAGAAACGGGGGATTCGCTTGCGTCATGGGCCAATCTTCGAAATAGGTCGAATCGAATGCGCAACCGGAGATTGACCAAGCATCTCTCGCAGACAGGTCGATCGGAGTGAAGACTGCTTCACTGTTTCCACCACCATTAGCATTAGCACCATTGCCATTATCTTCCGGTAAAACTACACTGCCTAGTCCGAGTGATTCTCTGTACCGCGGGGTGACCGCTGCACCCATCCGGTTCTGCTGCGAAGCCAATTTCTTGCAGTGGTAGTCCACATTTATGACGATGTCACCCCAAGTCCGCAAACTCCTCTGGTCCGAAAACAAGTCGCCCAGAGCGACTTGCGCAAATAAGGCGACGAAAGCAAAGAGCGCTAAAGAACAGCAGGCGCCGCAGACTGTTGGCGGTAAGTCACCGGGTGAGGTCTCGCCAGCTTTGTCCATACGACGTCCAAATCGGTCTAGTAAACGCACCCATGCTTTTGGCTGGTAATATTCGATATCCGTCCGCTGAATGCTTTCGTCCCATGGTTCTTTTAGCGCAGATCTTTTCACTATCCTTGGCTAAGCGTAAGAGATGCCACGTTTATTTTTGTGTTTTTTCCTTACTATAGTGTTGTTCCCTTTAAGATGATGAATGGACGAGATAATTCCACAGGGCACTTCCACAGGGCACTAGTGCTCTCGTTGATGAATGGACGAGATAAAAATTGTAGGTTGAATGGACGAGATTTAATTGTAAGTAGGTTGTTCTACAACTATTTCAGAGCCTTAATTGATATCGTCCAAAATTCAGCCTCTTGTAGGCCCACTTCCACAGGGCACTAGTGCTCTCGTTGTCCTCATTACCTTCGACGAAGGTAGAAAAGGATGCGCCGGCACTCGTGCGGATCACGCGGCCGGCCTTGCTCCCCAAGACGCTAGCACGATCCTTCAATCCGGTGAGCACCGCCTTGTGCATCTTGTGACTTGCACTAATGGTCTAGATGTAAATGTAATGGTACTATAGATTCTAGCTTAGGCTCTAGGTCTAGCTTAGGTTCTAGGTTCTAGGTTCGAGTGGTCTACATTCTATTTTAGGTGGATAGGATTCATAGGTGCTGTAGTGTAGGATGTGAAGCCTTGTTTAATATTAAGAGGTTCTAGTTTAGGTGGATAGGATTCATAGGTGCTGTAGTGTAGGATGTGAAGACTTGTTTAATATTAAGAGGTTCTAGTTTAGGTGGATAGGGTAGCAAACCTAGCGTAGGATATCGTGCTCGTGGTGATATTCTATAATTTCATAATATGCTTCTAGTGATCTTCAAAGGTCGATCATGGTTTAAACAAGAAACGGACAATGAAAAATCTAAAGAGGACAACGAAGATTGACGACGCCTGCAAATCTTCATATTAAGGTGCTACTTGAGTATTCAAGAACGGGAACAACGTTCACACTAGACTACTGAAAAAGATTTTTGGTGAGACGTGGCAACAGAAAAGTCGCACGAGGAGCTACTAGATCAAAAATATCATCCTCAATCTTTTTCGATGTAGCAAGTTGCCTTTCACCCACATTCCCCTTCACCCGGGAAAATATCATCCTCGATTAGTTGATTCTCATCGAAGCTTGTTTGTTCATCATTCAAGTCCATTAACTGCATTTTCTGACCTATAACGTGGGACATGATTTGTCTGCATGGTCGTAAGTCTTTAGGTTCATAGTTAGCACATGGTGAGGGATGTCTTGACTACCGAACAGTTGGGTGTTGGAAGTACTACAGACACAGCGTAACTCTTGAATGAATGTCGATGAAGGGTGAAAATGTAAACGGGTCAACATGAAAATAAGAAATATAGTACACACTCCACCCACTTTTAGGTTCATGCTCCACCTGAGCCTCCAAATTACAGTAAAGCCATCACGTGATGTAAGTTGTCGTTTCGACACTGGACCTCAATCAAAGAGCCCTCATAACTTGAACAGAATAAGCAGACGTGCTCAACTCAGAAATTGGGTAGATAGTCGGTCCCCAGAGTAGAAAACTTCTCACATCAGAGTGGATCTATAATTACCTCAACCTCCGTCTTCAATGCCATGATAAGCGAACAGAGTGAATAAGCAGACGTGCTCAAACGCTCTTCGTCTCTCGAATGATTTTTCGTGAACAGAGGCTAAATTACCTCAAATCATCTTCACTCACTCTCGCATCATAGTTTGTCATACAGATTATCTTATGATGACAAACACTCACGCCGTTTTTTTGAGTAGAACTCCAGTGCCGCACTCTTGGCCATGCAAACCGCTCGTGAAAACCGTAGAGCAGAGATTCCATGTACTGAAAAGCCGCTCATAAAAACTATTTTGTTGCGGAAAACAGTGACTTCGGGGGACTTCTGATTGAGAGCTCACCACCAGGCCCATCTAGAAGCTTGTAGAAAAGCCTGACTGTGAGGTCTACCAGGCAATGATCCCTACCTTTGTCAAAGGTAGGGATCATCAGGGGGACCATGCTCCTGCCTAGCCCTAGCTACAAAAACAAACTAATTAGATTCTCCTGACCGAGCTGATGGTTCCCCAACTACTACATTTCTACATGTGGATACAGAACACCAAGAATGTTGTTTTTGAACCGAGAAAGACCAAAGACTTTGCATCTCAAAGACCTTCGCATCTCTTCAAACAAAAAGGATCTTGCATCAACACACCGAGCCATCCTCATCACAGGGTCCTATGATATTCTTACCCAATTTTTTTGGAAGTTTTTCTTTCGAGAAGTTGGTCTCGTAGCAAATGACCCAAGTACCAACTACAGCAACCTTGCCCGCAGCAGTCCTTGGGCTCTGCGAGATCAGCACTGCACAACGCGGGCGGAAGGATCCCGGCTTCGAAGTTCTGAATCGCAAAAAAAAACCGCAAAAACTAAGCCAGTAAACGAAGCCAACGGGCGGACGCAGTTGGCCGGCCCCATCGGTGCGCCAGGTTCGGGGCCCTCGCAGTCTGCCACGCTGGTAGGTGTGCTTCGTTGGTGGCATGTCCGCTCTGCCGTTCGATTGGTTTAGTTTTGCTGGCTCCTCTGCTGTTGTTGGTGTCGGTCATGCCCGCTTTTGTTTGCTGAGTTCGGTGGGGGCAGTTCAAGCGGGGCGCCTTAGATAGGCTGGATAGGGTAACGAAAGCAGCGCAGTCAAGCTGAGCTACGCTGCGCCAGGTTCTTTGCATTTCGTTTGGGGTGTTTCAGTGTTTCATTAACCAGTTGAACGAGGCCAGTTGGGCCAACTAGTTTCACGCGGTCTGCTTCGGCCCGCTGGTTTGGTCAGACCAGCCCGCCAGGCTTAGCTCGCTAAGCATGCTCTTTGGCGCTCCGTTTGGGCAGTCCCCCTGGCCTAGTGTCGTAGGGCCAGTGTCGTTGGGCTCATTTGGTTTGCTGGATCCAGGGTGGCTCGCTCCGTTCGGTCAGTGCAGCACGGCTGCCTCCACCAGGCGCGCATCTTTGAGTTGGAAGATGTTGCCTAGCTCTGTCTAGCCCGTCTCCTAAAGCTTTGCTCCTTTCGTCAAATTCATTTCGCGAGGCCACGACTGCCGGGGGGCGTCCCCCTGTCGTAATGTTTGGCCACATTGGTCTAGTAGGGCTCGTGCTGGTCAGTCCGTCAAGCTCGGGCGGCTTGCTGCGGTTTGTTTCGTAATTGAGTAAGACTTGCCGCAGCACAGCAGTGCGGCAGAATCGGTTCTGCTTGGCGGGGGGGGCGGATTACGGTCGACGCTGGCCTCTATAGAGGACCACGGGAAACCCCATGGGGGGTCGTGTTCAACCCCCATAGGCTTTCCCGGCCCTCCCGCCCCTGCCTCCTGTGGGGTCTCCACGGGTCTCCCTGCGGCCACGGGCCCCCCGGTCACCTTTGCAGGGAGACCATGAGGGACCCCATCGGAGGCAGGGGCGGGAGGGTCGGGGAAGCCTATTGGAGAGGAACACAACCCCCCAACAGGTTTCCCGTCGGCCTCTATAGAGGGCGACGCCGGCCGCCCCCCCTAAGGTCGCGGCCGCCGTCCCTAGCGGCCTGCGGGGAAACCAGGGGGGGGCGCCTCGCTTTCTCGGAGTCCGGTCGCGCTGGGATGCAGGCCCGCAGTAAATTCCACGGCCCGCCGCCTCCAGCAACATGGCCAGAAACTCACGGGGAACCCAGTGGGAACCCACTGGATTTCGCTCCCCTGCTCACCGCGACCGAAAAGCCCCGGACTGCGAGGGGCTTCGAAGCTGAACGCTTGGAGGGTCACGGCCTTACGAGCAAGAGCGCCCGCGCGCCCGCTGGCTCCATGGTCCTGCAGCTTGGCAGCCGGGCCGCGAGAAGCCGACTACAGCGGCGAAAGCCCTGGCGCCGGTTGCCGGTTCGTCCGTTGGGGCTGAGAAGGGCAGGGCCGAAAACGCACCAAAAACCTTACAGGTTTTCGCCGGGTTTTTCGGCCGCCGCGGATTCACCCCCCGGGCCGCACCAGATTCCCGCCCCTTTCGCCGGTGACACACGCGGACCGCCTTCCGCTTGCTTCCTCCCCAGAAGTCCGGAGCTTTTGCGGGCTTCTGCGCTGTTTGCGTGCAAGAAAGCGCGGCTTTGGAAGGAAGGCCCACGCGTTCGGACCGTCTGGCCCGGTTGCGGGCCTCGCGGTCCAAACCTCGCAGCCGGTCCGCGAGGAGTCGACGACACAAGCGGGCCGCCTTCCGTTTGCTTCCTCCCCAAAGGACCGGGACTTTTTCGCAATTTCTGCCCTGCAAACGTGCAGAAGAGCGCGGCCCTGAAGGGAAGAGCCACGCGCCCGGACCGTCTGGCCCGGTTGCGGGCCTCCTTCTCCAAACCTGGCAGCCGGTCCGCGATGGGTCGACGACACACGCGGACCGCCTTCCGCTTGCCTCCTCCCAAAGAGTCCGCGGCATTTGCGGGCCCCTGCGCTTTGAACGTGCAAAACGGGCGCGGCCTTGGAGGGAAGGCCAGCGCGCGCGCAAGCGACCAAAGGACTCCGATGCCTCCGCGCGAAGCGCGTGGCCCGCTGCCGCCCTTTAGGGGTGGCGCAACGACCATCAAAGCCACGGCCTTTGGCGATTCCATAAGGCAACAGCCGAGAAAAATAGGAAGAGCGCGGAACGAAGTCGAGGCCCTTTCTAATCCCAAGAGAAAGTGCGACGGGAACCCCAACCGGGGGGCTCGGGGGAGGGATGCCCACCAGGAGAGGGGGGGGGGGCTGATCGCAAAGGAAGGAATTGAGGGGGGCCGACTTGGTGGGCGTGTGTTTGTGGGCGTGTGGGGGGGGGGGGAGGGGTGTCAGTAGATTCGTTGGCGGGTATGTGAGTGACTTTGTGCAGCTGGCTGCAAACTTCAGGGGCTAAGGGGGGGCTGGAGGTTTTGGCTCCGATCGCCCCCCAAAGCATCCGAAAGGAAACGAATGGGGGAGAGCGGTCGCCCGTGTTCCCCATTAGTTTGCACTGAAGTGGCGGCTTTCTCGCTTCTATCCGACGCCTGTAGTGAGAAGGCCGGGACTTTGCAGAAGAGAAGCGGAACGGATGGCCCCAAAGGTGGCGGCCCTTCTCACGGGTCTGGGGCTTTTACCGTGTAAAAGTCCAGGAGTTTTCTAAACCCTGAGTATTTCAGACCTATAAAGGGCCAGCCCTCTCGATGAATGCGCTTCCCCTTGGACTTTATAGAGGGCGACCCTGTTCATAAGGGGCCGCAGGCAGTTAGATTGGCAGCAAAAGGCATAAACGAGGTCGCTGACGGCAGAAGCCTTCAAATTTATCATAAAAAGTGATACTTTTCGCACCTTTTTCGGAGGAAACGGTTAGCGAGGAAGTGGCAATGTATGATGTGTGTTAGTTCGGAAATTTTTTCCGAAACAAAAACCTCGCGAGAAGTTCTGACCCTTAAGCGCAAGCGGCAACTCTGGGCGCAGGGGTTCAACATCAACTCGGAGCAAGATCGTAACAAAACACCTACAAGCGCAACAACTGCTATAACGTTTCCAAAAGTGTACTGTAGGCACCCCAATGGGCACGGCAGTAACAAAGAAAGGAACTAGGGCCAAAATCGGTCAGCGGACTAGCTGAGGGACAAAATTCATCCAAAGCTACAAAGCATCGAGCCCCACGCCCATAAGCATGGCGAGGGCCAATGGAATGAAGGCAGGCACGCCCTGGACCCCAAGTGAAGTACCTCGGGAGTGCTGGGGGCTATAAGCTTGAAACCACAGCAGAGCGCTCACGAACGTAAACGGGGCGAGAACTGCAGCTGATGGCAGTGGGCTGTCTGAATGTGGTGACGTGTGGGGCTGTGAAGGCAATCGACGAGATGTAAACAAGCGGCGAGCTGTTGAGCGCATCGCCGTCGGCACATCATCGAGGTCGCGAGTTAGCGGCGGCGTGAAGTTGTAGGCGCCTACCATTGTTGCCAATGGTACGGCACTCCAGTGCGTACATGAGTAATGCTCATGAGTAGTACGGCACTCCAATGCACTGCGGTAGCGTCATGAGTAACCGCGCCTACTTGCATCCTTTAAGGTATAACAGCACCAGACTGCACACGACTCCCATCGCTGTCAGTGGTGTGACATCACCGGGCTCATTACTCTCCCACTATTCCCACCAATGAAGCTCATCGGGCTTCTGGAGCCGATTGCTTGAGGCGTGTGCGCTGGATTGTCGGCCGAGCACGCTGAAGAACTACAGGCGGCAACGCTTTGAACTGTTTGAGCAAATTGATAAGAAAACACAAGCAACAGCCTGCAGCAGCTTAGCGCCACCGTGTCTCAGTGTTCTGCTGCCGTGCAAAAAGACCGGGCCACCATAACTCAGGCGACCGTTGTGGCTGTGATCAGTAATATTGGAAGACTCGCAAAGAGCTCCTAAGGGCATAAGTGATGCG